ACGGCCCACCATTGACGTAACGCCTTTAATTGATTAAAAATTGCATATACTCATCTATGCATGTATGTATGTATGTATGTTTACTCATTGTATGTTGATATATGTCAGCTTAATCTCGGTCTCTTGCTCCAATTTAATACATATATACATACGCACACATCCACACCCACATATGCATACTATTGTATTGTGAAGGAGGCACCATACAAGTGTAGTGAGTGTGGGGCTTATAGCCTTAGCCATCAGGCTAATGGCATTATGCGATAGCGACAAACATGCACACATACATACATATGTAAGTACATACTCAAATACAATCATTCAAAAAATAATGCCAGCACAATTGATAAGCAAATGTGTAGTATATTTTGCCAAGCAACTAAAAAAGCCGTTAGCCACACTAGCTCGTGAAGAAACGTCGTGTATGTACCGAGTGTCGCAGAGCACGCTTCTTGAAGACGCTACGAAATCGCCGGGAGCAAAGGTATGCTTGGCTTGTCTCTTGCGTCTATCTGCTTTCCGGCGATCCCATTGCACATACTACATTGTAGATCTTTGAATTTCTATAATTATTTTCTCTTTTTAAAATTAATTCTCGAAATTATTTGATTTACATTAGGCGTCAATTAATAAATTATTTGTTTGATAATAATTACGTAATATTTGCATATTAGTACTTGTAGTAAGAAATTGCGTTTGATGTAAAAAGTGCTGATTTGTATAATATTTATTTTTATTGAGGAAGTCGATGAAAGCGAAAACATTCAACTTGTATTTGTAATCGCTTCTGTTGTAATACTCGATAGATTTTAGTCGCTACAGCTGACACATTTCTTCGCTAGTATTTTTTTAGACTTTTTGTTGTGGTTTAAAAAAAAAAGCTGAAGACTGAATTTAATGAAATAACCGTTAGAGATCTAATGCTAAATTTAATAATATTCAATAAGCTTAAATCAATATTTTATAGTATTTTGGAAATCAGTTTGTTTTTAGTTGGAATATCCCCAAATAAGTTTGGATTTGCTTCTATGGTAACTTATATAAATCCGTTTCATTTACGGTTAAGTAAAAAGCCTTAGTAATGCTTAAAAATTGCTCTATAGTCTGTTGTCGCGTTTACTATAAATTATATACCGCCTAATTGCATGCAGGCACCTGTGGCGTGATCTTAATTTTCATGTGATTTGCGTGTTCTAAGTCAATTAAAAAAACCTGTTAAAAAAATATTTGCATACAAACACAAAATACAATAACAAATTAACGCCTATTTAACAATATCCAAATTTATAGCACATTTTTTAGATTTTCGCCAATTATTGTCATTATTTGTTTGCTATAAATATATTAGCGTGTAATAAATACATACTTTTAAAAGGCGAAGCAGATGACACGTGACATTTGCGATTTTCATCTTTTGTGTTGTGGTTTTTAATTCCTTTTTTAAATTTCATATAAGCACTGGAAAAATACTGACCTTAATTACCACTTGGTGGTTTGCCGGAAAGGGGACACACCCTCGAAACTTTACATACATACATATGCCGATAAGAATCACCTTTTGCTGCTAAGATAGTCGGCTATCACAATTTAACAAATCGATTGTCTATATTATAAATATATACTATTAAAAGTACTTATATTCGTTTGCAAATATATGTACATAAGTGCGTATGCCTGTGTTTTAATTCAGAAGTAGAAAATTTTAATTAAATATATAGGTCACTTGGTAACTTAAGCGTTTGTCGGCTAACTGGTTAGCTATGGTGTTGGTTCTGCTATGCGAGTGTCGTATATTCAATTTATGTATATGCTTACATTTATTTTTGGCGTATGATAATACTACCGACATCCAAGGAGAAGCCATGCTACTCTCTGCAATATCTTTTTTAATCATTTCTAGTTAATCCAAGTTCGAAAGCCTTAAAATGCCAAACATTATTTTTGTCATCACAATTTTTACACCAGAAATGCAATAATTACGAATGGACATGATGGAAGAAGATGAGTAAAACGGGTATTGCCACAAATTGCAAAAAAAAATTTAAATTTCCAGTTAAAATGTTGGTATAGATGAAATTTTATAAAAAAGTAAATGAAATGGAAAAAATAATAGAGAACAAAAAATAAATAAATTAAATTAAGTATAATAAAATGAAACAAATTAAAGTTAAATTAATTAAATAAATACAAAAAGTACATATACGGAATTTCATATTACTTCGTTTAGGTATTGTGTTCGTGGTATTAAAGTTATTTAAAGCGTAAGCTATTGCGAATAGTATATAAATATAATAAATTGAAAAATATAATATATTGAAAAAGTAAAGCTAAAAATACATTGTTTACATTCACTGAAACACGTCATCCGAATACATCATATACATACATAAATTTTAAAAATATACTTATTTTCATTAGATACGATATATTGTTTTAAAACAAACATACATTTGTATTTGTATAATTATTTCGCAAAAAAAAAACAGCTACGTTGGCACGTCAACAATTCATTAAACGTGCTACCAACCGAATGATTAAAAACAAACTATGAAAACGTAACTTGTGCTGATACGTTCATATATATGTACATATGGTTCATACCTGTAAATCACACATCCATGCGCGTTGTTCAGTTTTATCTTCGCCTTTTTTTTCACAGACCGACCATAATTTGTCTGGTGGTCATTCTTCCACTTGTGTGTATTCGCACACACCCAGCAATGCGGCAAAACAACAAAATAGACATTGAAAAACTCGTTAAATGCAACATATGATCTGGTACAAAGTCCAATCGTGTCAACAGCTGAGTCGGCTGAATTACAAGGGTTGCGGGGTGCGCGAAGTGGTGTGGGGTAAGAAACGGCCCACTGACCAAGCGATTGGCATGATGGAACGATGAGTTTGATAATGACATATGTATGTGAATGTGTGTTTGTTGTGATGTGCACACGTACTAATGTATACATATATGAATGTGTTGATAGTAGAGTGTGCTATTTACCTCGACATTTGGCGGCAAAGATATTCCGTGATTTTTTGCTAGAAATTGTACTGCAAAGTGAAATATAGCTGTTTGTTATTGTTTTTGTTGTTGCTATTTTTACTTTATTTAAAGTTTTGGCTCTTTTTATTAACATACGAAATTAACGTGAAAATGGTCGAAGTTCATTAACTGTAATGACAAATATTGCATTAAATGCGGCGTTTAACCCTGAATTTGCCAAGAAATGGTATAATTATTTATAAAACGATGCATTAACAGGAAAAAATCGCTTTGAAAATAGTACCATCTATGATTTCAATAAAAAATATAAAAGAAATTTAACTTTGTATCTTCAAACTATTTTTGGGGTTAAGGAATATACCCAAAATGTAAAAAGCTGAATAAATAAAAATAAAATACTTAGTAAGTTATAGACTCTATAATTATAATACTACATAATAATAATATAAATATGATTTAGATGAAAAATATATATGATGTAGATAAAAAATATATATATTTAACTTCAAACTATTTTTTTTACAACTTTTGTTGTGTGTCATTAGATAAAAAATATATATGATTTAGATAAAAAATATATATATTTAACTTCAAACTATTTTTTTTACAACTTTTGTTGTGTGTGAACACAGCTGTGCTTTCTACCGGTAAATCTTCAAACTGTTTTTTTTTTTTACAACTTTTGTTGTGTGCAAACGCAGCTGTGTTTTCTGCCAGCAAATATTTAATTTAAGTATCTACAATTACATAAATTAATTACATTGAATTAATTTTTATAATACACTAATTTTCACATTGCGCCATTAGTTAATACCAAGTGGGTTATCTGCAATCCGTACTAAGCGTCGGTTATTTACAAAGTCAGTTGATAACACTGCCTAGTTGCTATCATCATTGCGTGAATAATCTTTCAGTGTAAATTGCAGCACAAAAAGCCTGATTTGCGTTAGGAAAATTGACAATAAAATAAAATATATATAATATTTATTTGCAATTGAAGTGTGAGCAATTGCTGCACGATGTATCCATACTATTTTTCACTGCTTCAACAGCTGTTGCCTAGCTGTCAAAGTTGTTTTGATTTATGTATTATAATTATTTTTTTTAATATTTTAAAGAAGATTTTACGTTACGTAATGTTTAATTTGTGCAAAGTAAGTGTGCTGAGCTCAAAGAATCCTTGAACTCATCTCTAAAGTTGGTTCCATAAAGCTGCAAGGAAAAATAACTAAAGTTAGTGGCTAGTTTAAAACTAGTCAAAAACATTAATTATCATGGCTATAAGCTTACATTTGTATATTTTATTTTAACCAAAAAGTGTATGAAGTGATTACTTTTTAGCGAAATCATGTTTCATGTGCTATATTTATATTGAGTGGCTAATTAAAAAGTCAACATTTTATAGTGATGTATAGTTTAACGTAAAAAATTGCCTGACTCAAAGAAAAATTTTCGCTTCTTAATTAATTGGCTTTGTATGAATTGTTTTTGTTTTTTTTGAAGTGCTTTCTTATCTACACGCGAAAAGTGCTTGTTGATTATTGGCTTTGTATTAATTTTTTTGTTTGAAGTGGTTCTTTATCTACACGCGAAAAGTCCACCTGCTAACGTTAGCGATTTTAACATGACTAAACAAATTTTTCGAGGAACTCGGCATGTCTCGCGCAAACTTTTAGAATTTTTTTGTTTATGTGCAAATCAATCAAATACTAATATTTGGGTATTGCTTAACAATCACACACTTAAAGATTGAGTAAAGAAAGCGTTTCATTTGAACAAACTTCCTTATTATAATGGATTTGAAGTGTTCGATATGAAAAAAAAGAAGTGTTGTACACGTAACCTACAATTATTAAAGAATATGTGTTTGTGTTATAGCAACTAAGCCGAAATAATATTCAAATTAAGTTCATCAGTGCATAGATGAGCTTACACACACTTTATATAAACTGAAATGCCTACCAATAAATTCAACTGATTTCTTTCTCCATTGCAGCTATGATATGGTGCATTTTGGCCATGCCAATTCCCTGCGACAAGCCAAAGCGCTTGGCGACAAAGTCATCGTGGGCATACACACCGACGAGGAGATCACAAAACATAAAGGACCACCCGTATTTACGGAGGAGGAACGCGTCAAAATGGTCAAGGGCATCAAGTGGGTGGATGAGGTGGTGCTCGGTGCGCCCTATGTGACAACACTCGAAGTGCTCGACGAATATAATTGTGATTTTTGTGTGCATGGCGGTGAGTACAAGTCTGAATGACAAAAAAAAAATTGAGAAAAAAATGACATTTTTAATTATTTTCTCAATTGTTTTTTGTGTTTACAGATGACATCACTATGACCGCAGAAGGCGTGGACACATACCACCTTGTGAAGTTTGCCAACCGCTACAAGTATGTACATACATATTTATATACTTAATTGACATATTGATTTTCCGTTTGAATTATTAATAAACATTTGCATTTTCCTTGCTCCTTACAGAGAAGTACGTCGCACTGCTGGTGTTTCAACGACAGATTTGGTCGGACGTATGTTATTATTGACACGCAATCACTTCCATCAAGGCTCTGCCGAATATGCCATAGAGAAAGAAGGTAACAGTTGTTTTAGTTTAGCAACAGCAAAGTATTATTTATTAATATCATTTGTGCTAATATCATGGGGCTTTTAATACATACACATACGTTCATACTTGTAAATCGATAAATTGATTTTTTTTTAGATTCTGCTTTTCAATTGAAGTAAGAATTATTTTGGATTTTTAATGCGAGAGTAACTTTTTTTACTTGCTCAGCAAAAAAAAAAATCATATATGAATAATTGTATATATATTTGCTTCATATTTACTGCAATATTAAGCTTTTATGAACATGTATATATATTTATATAATTTGTATTGCTCTCGTGACATACATAATTTTTATTAATTTAATACAATAATAAGTTAAATTTAATTTAAATTTTATGTTGGAAAAGTTCTCAGCTTTATTTTCCAAGAAATAAAATAATACTCATTGTTTACCCAAATTAATCGTTCAAGCAGACCACCACAACAAACATACCTACACATATTTACATCAATTTTTATTATTTCGCATGTTTTTGCATTTTTATATTTGGTATCAGCTTAGAAATTTTCAAAATTTACACACGTTCTCTCTCGCATGTTTGTTTCTTTCGTTTGTCCACTTTGTTTATCCTCTTTTCTCTTTTTTCTTTTATTTCTATGTACATGTCAAACGAAATTTGCAAAACAAAAAAACCTAAAAATCTAACTGAAATGACAATGATATCGAAAAAACCAATCAAATCACTCGTAACTTGCTAATTACTAAAACCGTAACTGCTATTGCACTAAAATTTGCTAAACACTTGTAAATTAACGATGTAAACAATAACAAAACGCCTAAAATTATGCAATACCAATTGCATGGTACTGCTAATTCATTCCATGCGTATCGCTCTCTTTCATTCTCTTTGAAACTGCTATCAACTATCAACGCTATGTGCTCTCTGTAAAAAAAAAAATACAACCGCAATTAAAATTGAACGTCAAATTGAAATTTATGAAATTTTGTGCATTCATTACAAATTCTGTGCATATAAATTAATACCAAAAAAAAAAATAATAATAATAACAGACTTAACTAAAAAAGTACAAAAAATGAAATTATCATCAGGTTCATCTAATATGGGACAAGACTCATCAGCGAAAAGCCCGTGGACCGGCTGCAGTCAATTTTTGCCAACAACACAGAAGATCATACAATTCAGCGATGGCAAGCCACCAAAGCCGAATGACAAAATTGTAAGTAGAAACGTGTGCTATTGAAATATATAGTTAATAAAAATTATATAGACAAATACATATATACAATATATGAATTAAAGTAAACAAAAAAATTATATCAAAAATTCTCTTTTGTCTGCTTGAACAGGTGTACGTGGCTGGCGCTTTCGATCTCTTTCATGTGGGCCATTTAGATTTCTTGGAGAAGGCCAGCGAGTTGGGTGATTACTTGATTGTTGGTCTGCATACAGATCCCGTGGTGAATTCGTACAAGGGTAGCAATTATCCCATTATGAATTTGCATGAACGCGTGCTCAGTGTGCTGGCGTGTAAGGTAAGGCGGAAAAGAGAGAGAGTGATATTAATAAAAAATTTTCTTGTTTTAGTACCAGAATTTTTTATTCAAATCTTTTGGATTAAAAAGTATATTTTTAACTTCCTAAAAAAAAAATTAAAAACTGAAAATTAAATTTTTTTATCCCAAATTAAAACTTGAAAATCCTAAAAATCTTAGATTAAAAATTGAGATATATAAAAAATAAAGATTTACATATTTCTAACTGAAAAATCTATAATTAAGAGTAATTAAACTCTTTTAATATTTTATTAAAAAAAAAACTTTTCTTTTTCATAAGATAACTAATTCTTAATTATAAGCCCGGAATAAAGTCTTTTTCTTTCAATCCGGTATTTAATTAAAAAGTCAAAATTAAAAATAAATCTTTAATTTTTTTTTGGAAGTAATTTATATTTCATTTCGGTACTTGATATTAATTATTTCTTTTGTTTTCATTTCGTTATTTGGTATTAAAAATTGAAAATTTATTTTTATTTAAGTTCTTCAGGATCACAAAATAATTTGTAATTTGATTTTTAGGATTAAACTTTTTTCACTGCGGTATTTGGTATTAGAATTTTTTTCAAACCGTTATTTGGAATTGTAAACTTAAAAATTTATTTCAATTAAGATTTTAGGAATTAAATTTTTTGGTGGTATTTGGAATATTTTTTTTAAGCTGGTACCACATACCACATAAAAATTACAAATAATTTTTTTTTCGTACCGCTACTTGGTTTAATTTTGTTTCCTTCCGCTATTTGAAATTAAAAAATTATTTTTAATACTGATTTTTGTAATTATAAACAAAACTTTTTTTTTTGATTCAAATGTTAATTTAATTGTGCATTATTTGCAACCCTGATAATAATATAAACTTTTTCTCTCAACAGTACGTCAACGAGGTGGTTATCGGCGCACCCTATTGTGTCACCGAAGATCTGCTCGATCATTTCAAAATCGATGTTGTTTGCCACGGCCAGACACCGATTGCGTTCGAAGATGGCAAAATCGATCCTTATGCTGTACCAAAGACACGTGGCATCTTCACGCTCATCGACTCACAAAACTCAATGACAACCGAACTTATTGTGGAACGTATTATTTCACATCGTATCGAATATGAGCGCCGCAACAAAGCCAAAGAGAAGAAGGAATGTGAGGCATTCGAAGCGCTGCAGCGTGCCAAGCAAACACAGAAAGCTGGTTAGGATTAGGCCAACAAGCCGACGGGTCAGTGTGTACACGAGTGCAATGCCCTTTAAGCCATTACCCCTGTGCTTTTATACATTTAGCATTAGATAGCGCATAAGAAGTTTAGAGTAAAATGCGAGACGCGCACATACTGAACCCGCTCGGTTGAAAAACGCTATGCAGCAGCGCAAACGCCTACAACAACATTTTTTTTTTGTTGAAGACTTGTGCTTTTTAAGTTTTATATTGTAGTAGTGTATTTTTAATGTTATGTTTACATTTAACTCGCATTATTTTATATAGCACCACCATTTTGTGTGTGTTTCGTGTGTATACGTATGTGCATTGCTAGTACAAATCGTAGTAGTGATATATGCAGTTGTTAGCGTGCAGTTTTATTTTTTAGAAAATTACCATTTTGCAAACTTTTTCCAATTATGGTTTACAGATAATGCAATATTTATAAAACATGCTCAAGTTGAATATAATTTTTTTAGTCTAACCGAAATTGTATGTATGAACGTATAGCATATTTCTTAGTTAGCTTCTGTTGTCAATGTAAATACAAAACCCACATATTAGTTATAATTTGAAAAAATATGCAAAATTTGTAGTAGAAATTCTAACTGTAAATTTTCCATATAATTGCTGGCAAATATACACGAAGTAGCTTCGTGTTGAACACGTTTATGCTAAGTTAGTGAAAATACTAGTATAACGTATATGGCTTGCAATCAAGTCTCATGCCAAATAGTAGTATAATAACTGTATAACGTGGCAGAAATATATTTTTTACTGCAACATTTACAAAATATGAATGAAAATATAATTTTCGAAATGCGATAGTATATGGCTTTTGTGCGTGGGACTATGAAAATTTATTTCTCAAAATATTTTCCAAAAATATTAGTTTCTATTGCATTGTATTAGCAATTCAAAATCAATCAATATTTTTGAACTGCATTTGGTTGCTTACGTTTAAAAAAATGCCAATTTTTTTGAAAAATTCATGCACATGCTTAGTTTTATGTGACACGATTTTGTGTCTTTCTAATTCAATTAAACAAAAAATGCTATCATATCTATATATAAATTTAAAAAAATATAAACATGCAAACCTCGAATAGTCGCATATTTTGGCTAATAAAAGCAATACATACAAAAATTAAAATTTTTATTTAATTTTTTGTTTTTCACTTTCACAAAATTGACTAATACGCTGTGAAATTGTATATTTCTTTGGTATTCCAAGTATGTTTGTTTATGTTTTATTCACATTAATTTCGTTTTTTTTTTTCTTTCTAGTTCACAATTTATTTATTATTTTAATTATTTCATATAAATAATATTAAATATATATACATATGTAGTTTATTAAATATTGAGACCAAAAAAACAAAAACAAATCATAGCATAGCAAGCAACATTTATTTGGTCTGTTAATATAAAAAAAAACCTTTTGTCAAATGTTTTTGTCGTTTATGATATACAAATAATTTATTATACTACTTTACTCAATAAAAAATAATGCAAAAAATAAAAATTGTTTTAATAAAAAATTAAATTTTCACATAAGTCAGAAACCAAAGAGATTGAGCTCTAGAAATAAATTTTTCGTATACATATTTCGTACATATGTATATTGGAAATCGTAGATCCGAACAACAGTTAAACCAGAACTGTTTTTGTTGTTGTAGCAGAAGAAAACATCGCTGCAGAAATTTGGAAGAATGCTACTGAGATAAAAATCATTTGGCGGCAAACAATTTGGGTTCGTTGTGGTTACTTAGACCTGACTGCTGTGTGATTTTAACTCTTAGTTTTCAGTGGTTTTTTCAGCATTCAGCTATAATCAGCTGTTATTCTACTAAGTTGAATAAGTGCTGAATGGCAAAATACCCTAAAAGGTTGATATTGCGTTAGTCTATGAATCGATCCAAAGAATATAGAATCGTAATATTACCGTGAAAGTATAGCGTCGTGGCCACAATAGTAAGAATTCCAAATAAGTAGCGTGGCCTGAATGTAGACTGCAAGCATAATGCGATTGTGGTGACAGTTCTTGACCGAATATATTTGCGGAAGCGTTTCGATTTCGAAAACTAAGAATCTCCAACAACACGCGTTTCAGATTTTTCATTACATTAAGTTATGTTGGCTTGGTTAACTCCTGCTCTATCTTTTTACAGAGTCAATAAAGACATTCTCTTGTTAGGAAAAACTTCTAAAGTACAAAATTCCAAGATATGGCGAATAAAATAATCGGTCTAACGTTGAGGAGAAGGAGGCTTAGCCTTTCGCCAAATGTGGATTGATATAGAGCTTATTTTTTTGATATTCCCAAATCTACATCTTGGGGCATTTATGACTTTCAGAGCAAGTAGCAAATAATCGATTTTTTTGCGTTTTAGGTTAGGTAAGGTTAAATAATAGATCCCAAAAGGGGATCGCTTTTGTACTGATTATGATCACTTCTTTATGTAGCCAGAAAAATAACTTAAATAATTAAATTTTAAGTGCCGTTAAAGCGCATTATACCCATTACAAATCATGCGTTTAATTTCTATTGCTGCCAACTCAATGTCTAAAGGTGTGCGATTCAAGGCCTTGATCTCGCAAATGCGGAACAAACAAGGGGAAAGTGTTGAGATGTTTCTACTTTCAAACACCTTCTGCAACTGGTATCCCCTAAGATTTTAAGCTTACCGCGTGGACATCAAAAGAACAATGACCAGTTAGCTCGCTGATTTTCTTGCGACTTACATTAGAGCAGAAGGATCTTGCGACCGCACAGGTGCGATAGTTGCTCAGCGCTCACCAAGCTCCCGTCAGTTCCAGCTACCCAATAGTAACCCGAAAGCGGTCAGCGGAGTTCCGACTCGTTCCCACTTCACGCCAACTAATCAATTTTACAGTTGCCTGCGGTTTTGCTATGGTGAGGCAAGGTCAGAGAGTTCAAAGCTAGTATTGTCGCTCGACTATCGGAGTAGAAAGCCTTTTCTAACAGAGTTTTGCGATCATTTGTTTTACTTTTTTTTATGCAAGCAGAAAATCGAAGTTTGTTTTTATTGAAGTGTTTAAAGGGATCTTCCAAAAATGAATTTAAAATTTAAGAGTTACCGAAGATATTACCGATTTAATTGAAGGGTATAATCCATACTTTCATACTTATATTATGTTTTATGGTATAAGAAAGAACATAGGATAGATATTATTAAAAATACAAAATATTTAAAACAATTTTTTTTGCGGATCATACCTGTTTGTAAAATAAATTTGAAATTTTTAAAATTGAAAAAAAAAAAATTATTTTGACAGATATAATTTTTTTTTGAAAATTTTTAAAACGAAACAAAACAAAAATGCACCAAAAGCGTAAAAACAATAGGACAAAATTAGAGTTATCTGGTTACCACTACGAAGATGAACATCGCGGTATAGTATTCGTATACATACTATGTATTTAATTATTTGTTTTTGTTGCTTTGATAATTATTTAAGGGATTCAATGCGATTAGAGTCGCGGGGAAAGCTATTATCTAAATAAAATTAACTTTAATTTTGAGAGCATTTCTCATCCATAAATTCACATACATACATACATATGTACATATATGTTATAATTTCTATGTACACGTAATTACACAAAATTTTTTGTACATTCACTTTTACTAAATGGTTATTTCCGGTTGTCCCTTTTTGTGGCACTTACGCCATCCATAGTTATATGAGTATACAACGGCGTATATCACTTCTAACTAAAGTTTAATGACCATTTAAATGTTTTTTTCTTTGTTAACTTTTGTTTATTATTTTAGCGTGAGTGACAGTTTGGCTAATGAAAAACAATAGCAAAATAACAAAACAACAAGAAAATACGTTAATTTCGGTTGCACCGAGGCTATAATACCCTTCACAAATACACAAGTTTCAATAAAATTACTTGATTTTGATCGGTCGATTTGTATGGCAGCTATATGCTATAGTGATTTGATCCAAGCAATATGTTCGGAGATTGTACCGTTACCTTGAAAAATAATCTATGCCAAATTTCGTGAAGATAATTTTTTAAATAAAAAAGTTTTCCTTGCAAGCATATAATATTGATTATCCAGACCATCTTGAGAAGAAAATGATGTGTGTGAAATTTCAGATCTATATCTCAAAAACTAAGTGACTAGTTCGCATATATATATAGGGTCAACCAGCACGATTGAGGTGATGTTAAAATGAAAAAAAAACTCAAATTTGGTCATAATGGTTGCTGCTTTTTGGTTATGCAGATAATTTTATGCCATTTATGATTTTAACAAAATATCGGCCAAATGATCACCACGGCTCCGTTTGCACATCTCCACCCGTTTACGCCAATTTTCGATGATCCGATGCAGCATCTTAGCACTAACTTTGGCTACAATGCGCTGAATGTTGTCTTCGAGCTCCGCGAGCGTTGCTGGTTGTTGAGCGTAAAACTTTGCTTTAGCATACCCCCAGAGAAAATAATCTAGAGGCGTTAAATCGCATGATCTTGGCGGCCATTTGACTGCGCTATTTCTCGAAATTAACAACTCCCCCAACTTTACACGCAATGTGTTCATGTTTAGACGTGAAACATGAGGATTGTGCAAATAGAGATCGGCCGCGTCGATTTTATCAAATTCAAAAAAAGTTGGTCAACATCGTGTTATAACGCTCGCTATTGCTGGTAGCAGTAGTAGTAGTAGTAAAGAAATAAGCTCCGAAGATGCCACCACACCACAATCCGCACTAAACTGTAAATTTTTGGGGATGCAAATGAGTTTCCTGAAGCTCACGAGGATTTGACTCACCCCAATATCGACAATTTGATTTGTTGATGAAGCCATTAAGTTAGTAGTCTGGTAACTTGGATTGGAAAAATCACTGTTTATTTTTTAATTAATGACGAAGTTATAGCAACTATCCCTGAGCGTCTCGTAGTAGTACTCATTATTATTACATAACATATTTGGTCTGTTGCTGTAGTTTTGAACGCCTTTTTCTCGAAACGACGTTCTTACGGTCGACGCGGGTGATAAAAAATTCTCTATCCAATCGATAGGGGCTGAAATTCAAATATATAATTCTACTTACCAATAGCTCTTTTCAGGAACTATGATCTTTTTTTCCATTTCACAGACCGATTTCTACTTAAAAAATTTAACTTTTTTTCGAAGCCAACCATTTTAATATTTTTCAACAAAATTGTTTAATTCTCGTTCCAACCAGAATGACAATGATTACATTCTGAGATACTATTACTAATATATCACAAAATGAAACTGATTGAATTTTATTTTTTCAAATAAAATATTCCCAAACAGCATTAATAAAATGCAAGTTATCAAATTTTCAAATTCTATATTCTAATTCTAAGTTATCACCTTAAGCCAGTAATGGTCCATATCTAAAAAAATTATATTTTTCGGCGAACGTTATTTACATTTGTTGCACCAAAGTGAAACATGACATGATCAAATGGCAAATCTTACTGAACACACAGACGAAATTTGACACAAATCCGTAAACAAACACGTCATCAATATTGGTAGACGCTATATACAGACAACCGAATATGACTAAATCAACTTAGCACGTCATACTGATCATTTACGAGTATATATATATAGTAAATACGAGGCGTATATGCTATAGAGTCTCAAACGTTGACTTCAGTGTATTACAAACTTCGTGGCGAACTTAATATGCCCTGTTCAGGGTATAAGAAATTAAATATTCTTGCTTGCTATATGCATACTAGAATGTAAGTATGTGATTTTTTCGGTTTTTTTTTTTTTGGAAATGTTTTTTTATTGAATCGAGTT